GCTGCACGCAGCACCCCTGCACCTCGTTTCTGCTGATAGAGAGCTGTCCAGGCAAACTAAAAACAAAACAGAAGGAGAAATATTTCCCCTTTTGCATTTGAGCATGCAAGAAGGGACAGGAAAGGAGAAAGGGAAGATGGAAAGACAAAAAAAGAAGGAAAGATGGAAAGCGAGCAAGGAAGGAAAGGGGGGAAGAAAGGAGAATGAAGAGGGAAGGAAAAAGAAGGGAAGGAAGGAAGGAAGGAAGGAAGGAAGGAAGGAAGGAAGGTAAGGTGTTGTGTTCTGCTGGCAGTCCGCAGAGCTGGCAGCAGAGTCGGACAATGAGGAGGTTGGGGAGGAATATGGACTAGTCCTGGAGTCTGAAGAAGGCTCAGACGAGGGCTCTGCGTCAGAGGCAGAGAGGGGATCAAGGCCATCTGATAGTTATGTGCTGCCTCCGGAGCCTCTGGAGTCTGACATCAGCGAGGCAGAAGAACAGTGAGAACCTGTTCCCAGTGTGCACATGCGCAGAGCTGCCAGAAGGCAAGAACAATTAAGAAAACAGGGTCGATGTGGGAGTAAGGCTTGGAAATGATTGTCCCCTTCGATAATGCATAAAAGGAATAAATGGGACGTGAGCCTTGGCATAAAGCAATTAGTTCATCTGGTCATTTCAAGCTTTGAGAAGTTCAGTTTGACTCTGTGATAAGTTTGGCCTTACAAAACCAATTGTCATTTAGGTCTCTGGCAGCATTTCAAGAGAGATAAAGTGGGTGCTTATCAACATTCTCCTGAAAGACTGTGGCAACTCGAGCAGAGATCTGTTAGAATCTTCATAGACTGTTTGTGAAGCTTTGCAGGCTGTGAATGACATAATTCACAGCCGTATAAATAAAAGGGGGGTTTTGGGACTAAGATTGTGATTTATGCTTTCTCGGGAAGCCTAGATCAGGAAGGAAGGAAGGAAGGAAGGAAGGAAGGAAGGAAGGAAGGAAGGAAGGATATAATGAGAATCTCCAGGAAGTCCTGCCTTGGCATTTGGCCACCACAGGTTCCCCCAACATGAGTGATGAACTGGCCACACCTACCATGGCTATGTACCCCCAGCCACACCCACCTGACCCTCCAAGGTCAAACACAACCCTGATGTGGCCCTCAATGAAATCAAGTTTGACATCCCTGGTGTAAGAGATAGATCCATTTTTTTTCCAGATCACTGAACTGAAAAGATCTCCATTAATCCTGAGACAATTTTTTAAAATGGGATTAAACAATATAAGGAAACCTTCAAAACAATTCCCACTTGTTTCTTGAATAGCAGGGCCTAATTTTACATTCCTTTGCACCTGGTTTTCAGAGACATATATTAGATTCAATTTTGTTAGGCTCTGTTTTCAATAAAGTATTTTAAAAGAAAATTGGCATACTCGAAGGCAAAGCACAATTTTCTAACACAAACCTTGTACTACCTGTAGAGGGTAAAGGGACATACTGATAAATTAAAAATAATCACAGACACAAAGAAGTACCTGGCATGCCAATCAGTTCTTAGTTAGCCTTCTGTAAATTGGTATTTTGTGATTAGCGATTATCCACTATACCAATCATTTGGTAAATAGACAAATATCCCATGGCAGTGATGTACTAAGTGTGTCACAATATGTTTTTCAAATTGCAAATGTCATAAGCCCAAAAAGAATACTCATAACAAACAAAAACTGAATTCCTTTCTCTCAGCTCCTTGCTATGTTTCTCTCTCAGTGTCTGAGAGTTTTCTGAATTGTTGATTGTGAAAAATTAGTTCACCCCATTGAATTTAACTTTTTCAGTGTATTTTAATAAACATATATTTTGATCTTTATTTCAACAATGTTAATAGATAAAAGGGATGTTATATAATGCACTCTGTAGCCCACTTGTCCCCAGATGTCAAGGAACTCCAACATCCAACAGGGTTCTTCTTGATCCAGGCAATAGCCGATCTGGTATAGGCTTCTGTAAATTACATTTCACTTATTGTTTATGGAAGAGGTCTCGTTCATCTGGCTCCTCTATGAACTCTGACAAACATGGTTGAACCATAGCTGTCATCCTCCTCAGAGTATGTAAATTTCACAACCACATCAAAGTAATGCTTCACTGGGATATTATTGTGTGTGAGTAATTTACTTTAGCTTCACAGTCTAAAACTTAATAATTCAAGTCTTAACCAAGGATCTAAGAATTATTCAGCTAGCATTTAAATTTGAAACAGGATGGGGTTGTGGGGGTTTTTTTTGTTTCTTTGTTCTGTTTTGTTTTTTGTAAAATTAGGGTTTAGGTCTAATAAATTCAATATATCCATATTACAAGAAAGTATTAGGTATTGCTCTGAGGGCTCCAATCATGATCGGTATAACAACGGATTTCTTTTCTCCATAAGCATTTAGCTTTGATCTGCATTTTCCTATATACATAATTTTTTCCAACTGTTTTTCCTCAATCCTACAATCATCGGATTAAGCAACATCAGTGAACCAGACTCTCTTCTTTTCAATAACTGTTATTATTATTATTCAGGCCTCACTTACCTAAATCTTATTTAACCCAGAAGAATTTAAATAAGTGGTATGCCCCAGGACCCTTTGTAATCCCTAAAAAGTTTTTGCTTCATGAATCATTCCGGCATTTATTTTCTTTTCCTTCTGGGTTTTAATCACTTGGTTCCTTCTTGTCTATTGCTGAAAACATCATTTGCTGAGTGGCTTTTGTCCTTTTGGTATAGCTGTTCAGCTGGTTTTTAAGTTATAGCCACAACTGTGAGTTTCAGCCTAGTGTCCTACATTCATTTTACATTTTCATGCTTAAAAATATACAAGTACTATTTGGGTTGGCTGTGGAAATTCTCAGTCATCCAGGTCATAGTTGTCCCAAAGGTGCTTTTTCAGGAGGCATCTGGACTTTCTTGTTTTTCTTGAAGACATTTCATTTCTCATCCAAAAAGGTTCTTCAACTCTGACTGGGTGGTAGAGAATGGAAGGATTATACTCCTTGCAGACAGCTGGTCATTTGCATTCTTTTAGAGAGTCATTGAGGCTATCTGGAGATTTATCTGGAGGTTCACCTAAATAGTACAAATGGGTGTGGAGCTATGGACTATGTTATAGACTGGATAGATGATGTCGTATCCCTCCACCTCTGTTGAGAGAGGACTGCTCGATTGTGACTATTTGGGGTCTATAAATTTTCCTCAAAAATAAGAGAGAAAAACAAAAAGAGAAACAAAAAATTCAAAATGGAGAGGGGGTAATTTGGGAAAGTGGGACAAAAGGATAGATTTATCCTAATGCTGGACATCTGCCTCCCCAATGGCTTCTTTACATTGTAAAAAAAACCATTATAGTAGAGTGAATTTAATTTGATCATTTATTTGTGGCAAATGAATTCTCATCTGAGTTTTATAAACATTGTATTTAATATCCATTACTTTAAAATTCAATTTTCTCATTAATTTTTTATTATTCACTATATAATTTTATATATTATATAGGCATATTTTATTAAGTTAACAACATTCATTTATTGTTCCTAAAGTGATTCATATATTTATCAATAATAATTAAATAGATAGTAATAATTAATTAGACCAAGCAATGTTGGTCCAGTTCATAGAATTCTGAAGTAGTATTCTTATTTCCAAAGATGGAATAATGAAGAAACTTGCAGAAAAAGAAAGAAAGAAAGAAAGAAAGAAAGAAAGAAAGAAAGAAAGAAAGAAAGAAGCAGAAAAAATGTTTCTGTTCTTTGTTATAAAACAGAATCTAAATAACATGGTTTTCGCCACCTAGTGAAGTAGTGAAAGAAGAAAGGAGTAGGAAATAATGCCATGTGGGAAGAAAGTAATTTAGAGTTGGAACCAGAATTACCCAATTTAAGAGCTGCTTATGTCCTACCAATATTGCATTCTCATTAAAACCTGCCTGAAGTTTAGGGGCATAAATGATGTGAAATTTAAGATATGGGACCAACGTGTACAGGATAATAGCTAAAATGGGCCATGAGGCCCATATACTATGTTTAGCTGTTATGTCATCAACAAATATTTTCAGTTAGTAATCTTGTCCTTAATTTGTGGTAGCTGGTAACATTTTCCAGTTACCTAAATTTCAGATTTCCTATCCTTTATAAATGCTCTAGAAAATCTGTCATGAAAAGCCAAAGCAAAGGAACCTGAATCTAGCAATAAAACTAACCTGCTACAAATAAAGATCATCTACATAGGGAGAGATTTTCTGCCTTAAAACTCATCTTTTTTTTCTCCTGCCTAATCTTATGCAATTGTCTGATTTTATTTCTCCTCGCATTAGTTTATACCATAACAGCCAACCATGTATTTTGTATTGAGTTGTGCATTTGATTGAAAATCAGGGATTCAACTTTAAGATTATAATTCTATACTTTATTTAAATATATTTATATTACCTATAACTTTCATTTTAAATTAGGTTTTTCTTTTTTAAAGTAAGAGCACAGTATAATTGAAAGCTAGCTATCATTTTAATCTCAAAGATTGCCTCAGTATACAAATGCCTTCCAATTAGAAAGAGATCTATTATATCATTAAACAACAGAAAAAGACAGAATATAAATCTTCCATGAAAAGAAAATACTTAATCATCTCCATTTTGAAGGACCATATGAGCCAATCCTTTCTAATAATTTTCTGAAATGTTCAGCATATTTGGATTTCCAGGAGAAATCTTAAGAAACAGACAAAAAATATTTAATATTTATAAATGCAAAACTGTGAGTGATTGAAAGATGCAGTTTCTGATACAGAACAAATTTCAGACATTGTGGCAGAATGTGATATCGGCATAAGCTGATTTTAGTGAGATAAGTATATAATGATTGTATGCCCAAATTGATTCACAATCAAATCCCATGTTGCACTGATTTTAAGAAAGGGATGGTAAAATTTAATTTAGCTTATTTTATTTTTGTAGTTTTCACTCAGTCTACTGTTTAATCTTTGATTACAGGCTACTAAAGAAGTAATAGAACGGGAGGCCCCAGGGATGGCCTTGGCAATGCTGATGGGATCACTTAATGTTACACCTCTGGGCATGCTCTCTAGGTAAGAATGCTAACAAAAATATGAAAAAGTTTTTCTCTAGAAAACCTAAGGTAGTGGAATGGCTGCAATAAACAAAAGTAATTCATCATTCCTTCCTCCTTTTAATATCCAAATGGCTTCTTTTATAGTTTTATGGTTTTTATTTCTTTTATTTTTTATTGTCTAGTATTTTGACAGATCAGAAAGAAAAGACATTGAATCTCTATTGCAAAATTTTCACATAGTAACTGTGTAGTTATGTAGTGGTTTCAAAACTATTTTGCATATTTTGCTTCAGTAGATTACACAACAATATTTTAAAATATTGTCGATCCCATAGTGCGGCCACTGAGAGATAGCTGCTTGCCTAAAGCCTACTTTTCATATGGGAGAGATATCCATATTACCCAGTGAGCTTCTGTGGCTGAGGTGGATGAGAATGTGGGCATTCCTGGTGTCAGTCCAACCTTAACCACTACAACAAAATGCCTGTTATGTAGCAATTATTTTTTTCAGAATTCTTTTTCTCCCCAGTTAGCACCGATTTCCCTGTTTTCACTATGAAGGTCTTATACTAGCAGACATTTAAAAGAATTCTTGCAAATCAATAAATAAATGTGCATAGTGCTCACAGAAAATACTTCTGAATTGTGAAGAATGTATATGAATCTCAGGTTTAAATGAGTCTGAACCACCCTGTTCCCCCGAAACTAAGACCTCCCTGAATAATAAGCCCAATCAGACTTTTGAGCGCATCCGCTAAAATAAGCCATCCCCCCAAAATAAACCCTTCCCTAAAATATCTAACTGCATGAGCAGCCTGTCCCCGCCATTTCCTGGGAAGGAAGGGGGGACATGCCTCACGCCCTCCACATGCACCTGCCATCCATGTGGAATGGCCTCGCAGAGGCCCCTTCTGCAAACCCTAGATACCACGCCCTTCTGTGCCAGAAACAGAGACAGAACTTCTGGCCCTCCATGGGCTGCAGGCTGAGGTTAATGGGCCTCCTATACCTCAAAATTAATAAGACCTCCCCAAAAATAATGCCAAGCACTTATTTTTAGGGTCAAAAGAAAATAAGAACCTGTCTTATTTTTGGGGAAACATGATAATTTTTATCATGTTAATGTGATTAAGTAATGCACTTGACTGAACTTCAGTTATGACTGTAATGGAAAAAAAATGGTAGCATTTGTCTTGAAAGAAATTACATAAATATTTGACATTGATATAGTACATTGTTCTGACCCTAAAAATAAG